TCAGGTTCACCAATGAACTTAGGCGGGTTAAATTTCAGGAACCTCTCCAAGGCTCTATCTTCCCCTCTATCTTGTCCCCCAATTTGATTAAGTGGTCCAGGACCCTATCTCTCAGCTAACCGTCCGAGAATATCAGTCATTCTATTAATGGCAGTAGCCACTTGGTTACCCTCTATGTTCCCTTGCCCTTGGGTCGGTCCAGTTGCCGATCCCTGGTCATCCCCATGAGATTGGGCCTGTCTAGTCCCTCGCCACGGCCTTGACCACTCCTTCGTCCTTCCATTATCCTAGTTGTGCCTAGTACAAGAAATGAATCAATTACGCGGGAAAAATACTTAAAACAAGGACCAATCGCGAAAAATATTGAAAATAGCAATAATTTACATTCATTATCATGTCAAGACCAATACAATTAGCAAGTCATGGGGGAGTACAAAAATATAGCACATAGTTGCCACAAACGTACTTTTAGTCACATACGACTAAAGTAAAGTCAAGTGCCTCAAAAGTAGGCCACACAGTCAAACAAAAATACAATGGCCTTGGCACTAGCATCACCCCAACTAATCCTAACTATATCAGTCAAAAGGGCCTATCACTCTGAATCTAGTCCACAGTAGGGCTTCCAAGTGGAATCTCCTCCTCAGGATCCTCCTCCTGATCCGGACTCTGGATAAGATCCATTACCTCATCAACCAACCAACCAGTATCCGCTAGGATCACAGAAGCCCGATCTCGGACCTCCTCACCTAACCTAGTAAGTCGAGCCCTAGTCATCTGAAACTCCTCGCGAGTGACCTCAGCCGTAGCCACCTCGCCAACTAATACCTCCTCAAGCTCAACAATCCTCTCACCCTTAGCACTAACCATCTGTCTCAGTCCCTCCACCTCCTCAAGTAAATCGAACACCAACTGACGACGCTCATCGGCCAGAGCTAGTACAAGGTGGTTCGGGTAGGCAAACGTCAACCTACACGAACATCGAGGATACCTATTAGCTGGCGAATAACGCACACGTGCTCTCCCACCTAGAGCTCGGTAGTAAATAGGCCTAGGAGGCTCTACATGGCCATTAGCATGGCCATTCCCATTAGCTGCAGGGGTTCCGTTCCCATTCTCCATTCCTACAAAACAACCACACTTTTCGGATTAGAAACTTAGTCACCAGCTCACTCAGATATCACTTAAGGTATGACTAAGTCATCCTATCTCAAATCTTAAGGGTAAGGTTTCTAGTATATCTCCCAAATAAATCTCTAACCTAGCGCTCTGATACCAACTGTGACGTCCCCACTTCTCCCTAAGGCGAACCAAAGGGTATCCGCGGGATGCTTGCCCAACTCTCGCCAGGACTCAAGACAATTTGATTCACGCTTAACGATACATAACGATTAATACAAGCCAAATAAAGAAAAGTCGCTTCCATAATCGAATATCCAAGTCTTACACCACGAGTTCAAAATACATCAGCTATCCAATTCTTACATCAGGTATCCAAAAGATACATCAATCCCCAAAATATACAACAGCCAAAATGTTTAGTCATTTACATTTGAAACCCTAATACAAAAGTACATCCAAAGGGATTTCTCCAAATTTCACTCCATGTCCATTCCTGTTAAGGAAAACAAATCTACGGGGTGAGCAATTGCTCGTGAGGCCAAGAAAACACACATGCAAGCACGTTGTTCAAGTAACAATCCCATTTGACGAGTAAAACAATAATAGTCAAGTAAATAACAATTCAAGCTAGAAAAGTAAACAGAAACAATTCAAGGATATAGGAGCTCCCAGGAGCTATTTTTCCACTTGCACGATCAAGAACCTCCATGAATTGACACTCTGTTAATCGGGTAGGCTATAGTCCGTAGAACTTCACTTATCATGTCCCCGTTCACCGTTACATACCCTGTACTGGGCCCGCCTGTCGCTTGTTTGAGGCAATACTGCTCGAGTATGCTAGGCAAGACCTCTCAATAGGTCAATCTTATGTTTTCTCATGGTTCACCAAGGAGCCCGACCAAACCCATACCGGCTCGAGCCCAAGGTTGGCCAGTGAGAATTGGGCGTCCCCCAATTAATATTTATGAGTCGAGGAGATTCACTCCAACGACGTATGCAGTCATAGCATACCATTTCATTTCATTCAATCATTCAATACATTCAATCACTCATTTCATTTCAATCAATTCAATCATGAGTAATTCATTTCAAATGAGAACGAGTGCGGTAACGTACACACTCGATTCAGCATTTCCAAAATCTCCAATCACTAATAACAATTAAGCACGTATCAAGTTCACATACACTTGACACTCACCAAGTAATTCTAGAAGTAAAGCACAAGCGGTTGTTTAGGCGTCTCATGTGAGATCCTCTTGAAGGTCCTCTTGAGTGCCTGAGCAATTAACAATTAACTATTATACACTATCGCTTAAAACCCCTACTTATCGAGAAAGATTGCACTCGTGTACAATCTAAGAAGATATCATGAGAATGAGCCTTAATTACTCGTAAATCGAGGCTCAAAAGTGGGGTTTAAAAAAATACAAAAAAAATCTGATTTTCATCTTTAAAATCAATGTAAAACGGTCAAATGAAATCGAAGGAAAATGGAGAGTTCTAAAAACTCAATTTCCTTTAAGTTCGGAAATTTCAGATTTGACAAGCAATCCTTGAAAAATCATATCTCACTCTCTGTTGGTCCAAAATTGGAAAACTTGGTACCGTTGGAAACTAGTTCTGAAGTATTAAAAGTTCTTAGAAGACACCTTTCCATGATTCAAAATGGAAGACACTCAAAATTCGGCTCAAAGTTGCTGATTTGGACTCCCCGGACAGATTTAGGGTTGGTTTTTGGCAAACTTTGGAAATTCGGTAAAATTCGTAGAATAGGAACATGCCTCTCAAATTTGAAAATCAATTAGATTTACAATCAAAGTTTAGAACACAACAAACGGAACAATAATCGGAGTTTTGAGCGCCAAGATATAGCAGCTCAAAGTTGCTTAAAATTTCTCGCTGAACAAGGATTTTCCAGATTTGAAACATAGACTTTGGGACTTCAGTTGGGCATCAAAATGGGCTTTGAATGGCACCAAATTTGGTAGTATTACCCTAACATATAAGGGCTATTCCTCTGTCAAATTTCATGCAAAAAATTCATATGGAAGGTCAGTTAACAAAGCCACTAAAGTTCCAAGAATTTCCAAGGCAAACCTGCCTTGTACTTCCGTTTTCCTTTTTTCCTAACTTTTGACCAATGAAATCCACTCAAATCCAGTTCATTTATGAAGAAAAGGTCTAAGAAACATCCAAAATACATTTGGTAGGTGATTGACACCAAAAGTTTCAAGATAACAAGTCCCAATTCGAAATAAGCCATTGGCTAACCCAAAATTACGGTTTTCAATCACCAATGCAGTTCTGTAATTCGGCCAAACTAACTCAATTCAACTTGGAATTGGGTGTAGTTGGTGGCGTTGGAAACCAAATTCATAAGTTTACAATTTCTCAGAAGAAATCATTTTTAAATTCTGTCCATAACTAGAGCAACAAGTCACAACACATAACAGGTTTTCTAACACAGCAGTGAAACAGGACAGTTAATTTTGAAAAACTGGTACGGCTTACTCAGGATGAATCAGGGGATGTAATTTATACCATCAGAAAACTGGAAGCGTCTAGTTTCTAATTCCATAAATGGCACTCGATTTCGATGTCGGAGCAAAGAGTTATAGTCATTTGAAATTCGCTGCCAGAGTAACTCTGGACACGTTTTCCAGCTTTGAAACCATTTAGAAAATTCAACTTTTGGCCAACCAAATCAAGTGATTTTTGATGGAAAATTTCCACACAACCTATACAACATATCTACATCAAAATTAAGTCAATTTAACCACAAAAAAATTGCACCAAAGGTTTGACAAGAATAGGGCAGATTCGGCCGTTCTTCATGCATCACTTCCTTTGATTTTCTTTTCACTTTTTCCACTTATCTCTACTAGATTAACACTTAATCAACACAAATAACATCCAAACTCATCAAATCAGATCATCAAGTCCATTGTGGGATTTCATAGAGCCCACTCACACGATTTTCAACAATCCAAAGCTACCCACATGAAGCTACAAGCTTCTAAGTGTAATCTAACTTATAAAAGCTAAGATTCAAGGGTTGGATGATTAGCTACCTCCTTTGATGATAAACTCAGAAATTTTCGGTCCTTTGAGCTCCAAGAAAACCGTGAGAATGAAGCTCTTCTCCTAGCCCAAGATGATCTCCAAGTTATTTGCAAGGTGTGGCAGGAATTTGAGATGATTTGGTGCAAGATTGAGTGAGATGAGATGAAGAAATTTTTGCTCCTTCTTCCTTGGTGTTGCACGGCTGCTTAGAGAGAGAAAGGATAGAGTTGTGGCTGATGGAAAATCTTCTAGAGTAAGCTTGGTAGTTGGCTCTAAGGTGCACAAAAGTCAACTCTCCAATAGTGCGCGTACGCGCGCGTTTCGTGCCCGTTTCCTCTCGGGTTTGTTTCACTTGTGCACTAAACCTCTAATGCACTTCCATTAACACTATTGTTATTCACTCTTAATAGTCGAACAATAAATGTCCAAAGTCCGTCAATTAATCGCGCGCGCGAAAACGCGTACTTCTGATTTGTGCTCGATAAAGCGAAATTTCTAAGAAATTCGTATAACGATAGTATAACTAACTAATATTTGAGTACTTAAAAATAAAAATAACCCTTTTAGGGTAAACCAATAAATAAGTGAATAAACCGATAAAATAATTAAATAAAAATAAAATAAATTACGAGTCCTCACATATAATAGATTGCCTTACCCTTATGAGCACATTTTCTAAAATACCTATTGAATATATAATGGATCAGTCCACCAATTGCAAAGAGATATTAGTAGCTTTGACCTTTTGAAGTCCCAACCTCCGGACAACCGATAGAGGCATAAGTGACACAATTGCACTTAGATCACATAGAGCATTAGAGAAATGCAATACAAGGAATAGAAAAGCTTCTCAAATCTTTTAATTTAGAAGGGAGTTTGATTTTAATCAATGCACTACACTCCTCCGTTAATGCTATTATCTCATTATCCGTGATCTTTCTCTTCTCTGAAATGATATCCTTCAAAAAATGTGCATAAGAGGAAATCTGTGTAATAGCATCAACGAAAAGAATGTTAATGTGCAACTGTTTAAAAATTTTGACGAATTTCTCAAACTTCCGATCCTTCTCATCTTTCTTCAATCTATGAGATAAAGGAACAGTATTAAAATTTATATTGGAAGGAGGTACATCAATATCAATAACAACATGATCATTTTGGCTCCCTTTTAATCCTTCATTTGCTTCCTCATCCTTTTCACCACTTGAATTGCCAAAGTTAGGTTCCTCGACCATTTTACCACTTCTAAGAGTGAAAACATTGACATGCTCTCTAGGGTTTACTTTGATTTTACTAGATAACTCTCCACAGCTACTATTGTTAATCGAATTGGTAATTTGACTAATTTGGACCTCCATATTTGTGAGGACTCATGTTTTTATCCTTAAATAGCCATTCTTATAATTATTTGCCCTAGTATTAGTTAATTATATTTTAGTTGCATGAATTTCTTTTAAACTTAGCTTTATCTCGCGCGAGTCGAAAGTTCGCGCATTTCGCGTCGGAACGACTAAGTGGGGATTTGATAAATTTATATTTGTGAGGACCCGAAAATTTTCTTATTTTATCTTATTTTACTGGCTTATTTAAATATTTATTCACCCATTTTCTCCGAATTATTTATTTCAACCATTTTAAATCCATTTACATGGAACTATGCCTTAGTTTTATTTTAAAAGCGTTCCGTTAGCAAATTTTTCTGTTGCTTGTCTAGTAAGAAATAGCGAATGCACGTTTTTTGAGGTAATATTCGATTTGAGAGTGCAATGATCTTGGAGATTTGAGGACTCATGTTGTATCCTTAAAATAGTTATTTTTATGATTATTTACCCTAGTATTAGTTACTTATATTATCGTTACAAGAATTTCTTTTAAGTTTCGCTTTATCGCACGCGAATCTGAAGTTCACGTATTTCAAGTCGGAACGGCTAAATGGAGATTTAAGAAACTTACACTAGACTACTAAGAGTGAATAATTATAGTGTTAAAGGAATTACATTTGAGGTTTAGTGCACAAGTGTATCAAACTCGAGAGAAAACGGTGGTACGAAACCCACGCGCGACCACTAGTGAGAGTTGACTTTTTTGCACACAATTTAAAGTAGCTTTCCTTCATTCTTTCTCCCCAAGTTTCACTACACAACCACTCCCTCACCATCTCTCATTTTCGGCCAGCCAAGGGCAAGAGGGGAAAAGAAAATTTCATTATTTGGCTCCAAGTTTGCTAGCTAATCATTATTCAAGCTTTCCTCACAAGCTAAAGACACCAAAAGCCCTTCTCTTTCTCTCTCTTGTGGCCGGCCAAAACAGCAAGGAAAAAGAAGAAGAAGCTCCCTTCATCTTGCACCATTCTTGTTCCAAAACCTTCACAAATCACCACCCAATTCCTAAACTACTTGGAGAGCAACTGAAGCTAGAAGAAAGACTTCATCTTGGAAGTTTTCTTGGAGCTTTTAGTGCCAAAAATTTGTCGTTTCTCTTAAACCTAGGAGGTAACCATCCAACACCATCCAATCTTTCATTCTTGGCTTTAATGGGTTTTATCCTTGGCTTTGAAGCTTGTAGCTTCATTATTGTTGTTATTACTTGGATTGGATTGGTTGAAGTGGGCTCTATGTATTCCGACCTTGGTTGTATGGGCTGATATGATGATATAATGCTTGATTTGAGTTGTTTAAGATGATTATGGATAGAGAATCGAAGGAAAGATCGAAGGAAAGTTGGTACATGGACCTGGCCGAAATCTGTCCTGTTATTGCCGTGCCTTTATTTCAATTTTGTGATGCTCAAATGACTGTGAAAATGATGCATATATGTTGTGTATGGTGTGTAGAAAGTTTCTACCAAAAATCATTTGAATTGATTGAGCAAAATCTGAAATTTCGAAATGTGAAGAAACCTGGAAAATGTGTTCTGGCAGCTTGAGCAGTGTCTTTTTGATCGAACATATCTCTTTGTACAGATGTCAAAATTGAGTGCCGTTTGTGGCATTTGAAACTAGACACTTGTAGCTTTCCAACTGTATAAAATTCATTTTCTAGCTCAAAATGAGTGAGCCGTAGTGATTCGGCAAAGTTGCTGTCCTGTTCTGATGGTCCATCCGAGAGAAAGGTAGAAGCTGCATTTTGTTGCTCAATTTTCTCTCACTTATCAATTGATTTTGAAAATGAATTGTTCTGATGAAATGTATCCTCATGATTCTAGTTTCCAACGCCACCAACCATTCTCAATTCCAAGTTGTATTGAGTGAAATATGGTACAATTTTCAAACTGCGGCAAAGCTGGAAAACTCTTCTTTTTGCTGGCCGGCTGGTTTAGTTGTTTGTGAAATGTTTTATTTCGAAATTTTTATGTCAACCAACTATCAATTGCTTATGAAATGTTTCTTGGACCTTGGTTTCACAAATGAACTAAAATGGGACTGATTTCATGGTGCAAAGTGTTCGAAAAGGAAAAGAAAGCAAGAAGACAGATTTGCTTTAAGAATTTCCTAAACTTTGGTAGTTTTGTTAACTATCTTTCCGTACGAGTTTTTACGTGAAATTTGATAGAGGAGTAGTCCTCATATGGAAGTTGAATTGTACCAAATTTGGTGTTATTCTAAGTGTGACGGCCCCACCTCCCGCTGGGGCGTACCCTAGGGTTTAGCGGACCGCCTGCCCAGCTCTCGCCAGAACTCACTCACTCACATCAAAAAAAATAGGATGCAACCTCAATAATAAACGAAATAACAGTTCCCAGATTTGGTACATACAACTACATTCATTTCTATCTCAACCACTCATACAATCCCAAATACATCAAAAGATTTAAATTCTCAATACATTCAACCCTAATCGAGCGACTAGTGCGAGTACAATTACAAAATTCAAAAACAACTAGACTACGCTAGTCTGTACCAGTCTCACGCCTCGCTCGTACCCCTGTAAGGAAAACAAATGACGTGGAATGAGCTAAAAGCCCAGTGAGGTTCCAAATAGCAAGTTAACCATTATTTAAAAGTGCAAGTATCAGTAGCAAAATAGCGAGCATAACAAGTGTATAAAAGTAGCATTAACACTTCAGGTAGCAAATATCAAAATGAACGAGTGTAAAATTCTTTTCTTTTAAAACGAAACAATAACACGATAAGTACTAATCATTGCAAAGTATAAGAATACGGATGGCTCTTAGGAGCCAAATTCCATTGCATCACCAGAGCTTGATCACGTAATAGTTGGCACTCCGTTAACTTTCAAGTAAGTAACCAATCCAGTAGAGCACCACTTAAACTACTCTCCGTCCACCATCCAAACCCCTTACTGGGCCCGAACTCCAAGATAAGAATTGGTGGTAATACTCGAGTATACCGATTAGTCGAGGAGATAACACTCCACTCGACAACACTAGATACCTATGGTTCGTTATCTAATCGACCAAACCCTTGCCGGCTCGACTCGATTAACTAGCCAGTGGGGTTTGGGTCCCTAAGAAGTCGATAAGATATCATCTCTAATCGACTGAATCAAAATAAAAGTACGGAGACAGGAATGAGAGGCACCTTCCACTCACATTGAGTGTGGTACATGCTGCCGCTCAGCACTTACAAGTCAAGTACAAGTATATCAAGTCAATTGCAACAATAAGCAAGTATATATCATATTAGGGCAAGTGCGATAAAGTACACTCTTGCCCGATCAAACAAATTACATATCATTAAATCACATTGGTCAAGTATTGAAAACAAGTGTCCAGTTCAATCAGATATTTGGAAGCACTCACCAAAAGATGCGATGCCTTTACGGGTTACGTTCGAGTATTACTCCATGTGTGGAGTCCAAATATGCGATAAAACATTGTTTAAGAGCTTTTGAAAGTAACTAAGGTTCGAAACTTATACGTTTCGTTTAACGAGAATCAAGTAATTGAAACTCATTTAGAGAGTACTCGTAAAACTTATACTCGCTCTTAAAACTTTGAAACTTTGAAGCAATTATACTTTGAAATACCATTTGAGTCGAAGGAATAGGGAAAACGTATTTCTATTAGTCATAAATTTCATTTTTCCAAGAATACAAGTTTCAGCCGAATACTAGCTTATGTACCTCTATGAAAGAGAACTTGAAACCCCTAGACGATTCAAGTAAGATTCGTTCTCAAATTCGTACTCAAGTCGCGAGTACCTCTACCTAACCCTCGAGTGTAAATTTGGGCAGCACGCCCTTTGTGTTTACCTATTTTTCAGTCATTTATGGCTTCATTATTCTTTTCTCAATTCAGCCCCAAAACACATACAATTAATCTCATCACAATAGCCGTTCAATAGGCTCAAAATCATCCACGTAAAGCACAAGTATAATAATCCAATCGGAAATCAAGTTTTGAAGGCAAAAGACTAAATGGCAGATTCGACATCTTAAAACATTTGGCCACAACTAGAGTTACGTTTATCGGATTGGTGTGAAATTTATACCGTTTCGAAGCTAAGAAACTTTCATGCAAACAACTCAACCCAGTTCACAATTGATCCAGGTCGAAATTGCAGATTACAGAACCAGAATGTCCTTGTCAGTACGGTTGTCAGTACTGAATTCAAATGACAATAACTCAGGTTACACAATTTCGTTTGAGGTGTTTTCACTTGCGTTGGAAAGCTGAACCATAGAGATAAAAGTTTCATGTTTTGGCCAAAGGCTGATTTGATACGGATCAAGGTGTAAAGTGAAGCCAAAAGTATGAAATCACAAAATTGTCCGCAATAATGAAGCTTTTGGCGGTCAGGGGTATTTCAGACATTTCACATTCTACAGTGCTCGGATCGAGTTGAAATTTTACAGGCATCTATAAAACATCATGTTCTACAACTTTCATGTTTTAGCCTAAGCCTAATTTTGTGACGCCCCGAAAAGTATAAGTGTGAGAGCCTGTAATTTTGTTTTAAAGTACTCGGTTTTATTTTTTTTATGATTGCACGTTTTTCCACCTTTTATTGATGTGAGAAATTGGGAAAATAATTTTTATGAGTAAATATAGTTTTTGGATGATTTTTCTAGTATCGGATAGTTTTTGAGAAATTAAGAGCATATACCGGACGTGGGACCCACTAGTGCGAAAAGTTTGGAAAAATTCGGCCAACTAGGTTAAGTTTTGGATACTGGAATTAATTTATCGGGTGTTAAGAGATAAGTAGAGGATGCTAAGTGGATTGGTATGAGAGAGACAAAAGTTAGGCAAGCATTAATTTAAGTGACAAGTGTCACTTGGCTATTGGGTGGACCATTTGACTACTATTCCATGTCTTACCAATTGACTTAAATAACTAAAAATTCACCAAAATTCCTCATTTTTGTCTTCCTCTTGGCCGACTTCTTCAAGGCAA